TTTACTATAGACTGGTCTTGACTGTAGACTGATCTATAGTCTTGACTGTAGACTAATCTATAGTCTTGACTATAGACTGATCTATAGTCTAGACTTTAGACTGATTTATAGTCTTGACTATATACTGATCATTAGTCCTGACTTTAGACTGATCTATAGTCTTGACTGTAGACTGATCTATAGTCTTGATTACAGACTGATCTATAGTCTTGACTATAGACTGATCTATAGTCTTGACTATAGACTGATCTATAGTCTTGACTATAGACTGATCTACAGTCTTGACTATAGACTGTTCTATAGTCTTGACTATAGACTGTTCTATAGTCTAATCTATAGTCTTGACTATAGACTGATCTATAGTCTTGAATATAGACTTGACTATAGACTGATCTATAGTCTTGACTATAGACTGATATATAGTCTTGACTATAGACTGTTTTATAGTCTTGACTATAGTCCTGACTTTATAGTAAAGACTAGATATATAGTCTTTACTATAGACTGATCTATAGCCTTGACTATAGACTGATCTATAGTTTTTACTATAGACTGATCTATAGTCTTGACTATAGACAGATCTTTAGTCTTGACTATAGACTGATCTACAGTCTATCTATAGGCTTGACTATAAACTATAGTCTTGACTTTAGACTGATCTATCTTTACTATAGACTGTTCTATAATTTTTACTATAGACTGATCTATAGTCTTGAATATTGACTGATCTATAGTCTTGACTATTGACTGATCTATAGTCTTGACTATAGATTGATCTATAGTCTTGACTATAGATGGATCTATAGTCTTGACTATAGATTGATCTATAGTCTTGACTATAGATTGATCTATAGTCTTGACTATAGATTGATCTATAGTCTTGACTATAGATTGATCTATAGTCTTGACTATAGATTGATCTATAGTCTTGACTATAGACTGATCTATAGTCTTGACTATAGACTGATCTATAGTCTTCACTATAGACTGATCTATAGTCTTGACTATAGACTGATCTACAATCTTGGTTATAGACTGATCTACAGTCATGACTATAGAGTGATATATAGTCTTGACAAAAGACTGATCTATAGTCTTTACTATAGACTGATATATAGTCTTGACTAAATACTAATGTATAGTCTTGACTATAGATTAATCTATAGTCTTGACTATAGACTTATCTATAGTCTTACCTTTAGACTGATCAATAGTGTTTACTATAGACTGATCTACAGTCTTTACTATAGACTGATCTATAGTCTTGACTATAGACTGATCTATATTCTTGACTATAAACTGACCTCTAGTCTTGACTATAGGCTGATCTATAGTTTTAACTAAAGACTACTGTCTTACCTATAGACTATATTCCTGACTATAGATTGATCGATAATCTTGATTATTGACTGGTCTATAGTCTTGATTATAGATTGATATATAGTATTGGCTATAGTCTTGATCTAATCTATTTGTAATTATTTGCTATTTATTTGAATTCCTTCCCTATTTACCTTCTGTTAATATTACTAAAATACCTAAACAAATATAAATTAAAATTTCCCCATAGTTTGTCATCGCCAGGAACTTGACCTTACAGATAATAGTTCATTATATATTCGGGGTTTTACTTCTACTACATATTTCAATTTAGAGGTAATCACTTGTAACTCATTATCTTTGTTTCGATAAAACTAAAATTTATGGCACTTGAAATATGTATGTATGTACTCGATCTATGTATTACCCAGGTATGCAGTACTAAAATCAATAATTTTTGTCAACTGCTGGTTTTTTTGGCGATAACGAAAAAAAAGTTCTTAACTTTCATTGTTTTTTATATTATTCTTTAGTTTAATAATGTCAAGTTCATTACATTATTTATTGAGTTGTGCCGAAACTCAATACAAATATTTGTTCATATTGAACAAAGAAAAGAATACAAATTTTGTAAATATTTGTTAAAATACAAGTCATATAGCAATTGATGGGGGAAAAAATTACAAAATAAAGAACCTTTAATAAATATGAGTTGTATATGGCAGTTTCAAAAGGTTAATAAGTTTTTTTTAAATTATTTTGTTTAAAGTGATTCATTTGGTTAATATTTAACAAATAATTTTTTATGGTATTTTACAAAAGAAAAAAAGTAAATATTTATTTAGTTTGTAATCTATATAATTTAATGCTATTGTAAACGGAAATAAAGTCATAAAGTGATCAAATTGTGTTAATTAATAGGGTTTACTTTAATTTGATTTGTTATTAATTTGATAAAATTAAGGCGATTTAACTTGGACTAGTCTGGTCTATTGATTAGTCTATGAACTGCTCTTTTGACTAGTTTATGGGCTAGTCTATTGGCTTGTCTATGGGCCAGTTTATTGATTAGGCTGTGGACTAGTCTATTAACTAGTCTATTGACTAGTCTATGAACTGGTCTACGTACTATGGACTAGTCAGTTGGCTAATCTGTTAAATAGTCAATATATTGATTAGTCTCTGAGCTTGTCTATTGAATATTTCATTAACGGGTCTATGGACTAGTCTATTGGCCTGTCTATGGACTAGTCTGTTGGCTAATCTATTGAATAGTCTGTGGACTTGTCCATGGACTCTATTGACTAGTCTACTAACTAGTCTATGGACTGGTCTATTAACTAGTCTATGTGCTGGTCTATTAACTATTGATAGTATATTAATTGATCTATTGACTAGCCTATATACTGGTCTAAGTATTGACTAATCTATGGATTAGTTTATTTCTTAGTCTATTAACTGGTCTATTGACTAGTTTATGGACTAGTCGTTGAATAGTCTATGCTAATCTATTGAATAGTCTATGAAATAGTTCATTAACTAGTCTATTTACTAGTCTATGGACTCGCCTATCGACTAGTCTATTAACTGGTCTATGGACTGGTCTATTAACTAGTCTATGTACTGATCTATTAACTATACTAGTTAATAGTTAATAGATCAGTACATAGACTGATTTATTGATCTATTGACTAGCCCATATACTGGTATATTGACTAATCTATGGATTAGTCTATTGACTAGTCTATTAACGGATCTACTGATTAGTTTATGGACTAGTCTTTTGGGTAATCTATTGAATAGTCTATGGACTAGTCTACTAACAAGTCTATAAACTCGTCTATTGACTAGTCTATTAACTAGTCAATGGACTGGTCTATTAACTATCGACTAGTTTATTAATTGATCTATTGACTCGCCTATATGCTGGTCTATTGACTAATCGGTAGGTTAGTCTATTGATTAATTTATTAACTGGCCTATTGACTGGTCTATGGACTAGTCTATTGACTGTTCTATGGACTAGTCTATTGACTAGTCTATGGACTAGTCTATTGACCAGTCAATGGACTAGTCTATTGACTAGTCTATAAACTAGTCTATTGACTCGACTATATACTGGTCTATTAACTAATCTGTGGGTTAGTCTATTGATTAGTTTATTAACTGGCCTATTGACTGGTCTATGGACTAGTCTACTGACTAGTCTATGGACCATTGACCAGTCAATGAACTAGTCTATTGACTAGTCTATAAACTAGCCTATTGACTAGTCTAAAAATTTGTCTATTTACTAGTCTATGGACCAGCCTATTGACTAGTCTATATACTAGTCTATTGACTAGTCTATAGACTAGTCTATAGGCTTGTTTATGGACGAGTCTATTAATTTATTAACTGGTCTATTGATAAATCTATTAACTGGTCTATTGACTAATCTATTAACTGGAGTGTTGACTAGTATATTGCTTAGTAAATTCAATAGTCTATTAACTGATCTATTGAGTAGTTTGTGAACTAGACTATGTATTAGTCTTTGGATTACAATCAGTTAGTCTTAATAAAAATTTAACTTTTGTTAATTGTGTTCAAAGTTTATTCCTCCCAAAAAGAAAAGTGGAAACAAACAACTAATATCTATATCCTTAAACAAATATATATCTTAAAAAATAATCTACCATTTAATATAAAACTAAGCCTTTTAATCTTTAAATAAACTTCTAATTATTATTTTTATTTAATTAACTAAATATATATGAAAAAAAAAAGACTCAAAATAGACAAAGAAAAGCCAACAAATTTAGCAAAAAAAAAAACAAAACATGAAAAATTTACACAAATTGAAATCTAAATTTAGACAAACTGAAAATGAAAATACTATAACCATGTCATAATAAATATTAAAAAAAAACTGAAATGCTAATAATAAAAATAAAAAAAGTGCAGAGCTGATGTATGGAGCACCATTAAACTTCCTTTCAACAGACAGTTTTTATTTGCAAAAAAAAAATGTACATAATATTTGCCATGGCATTTCTTGATGGTATTCTAGTATCTGACATAGAAAATCTATAGACTCAGCGTGAAAGTTATATAGTGGTAATAACCCAGCAAATGTTGTGTTTAATTATTTGATTTATATTAAACAAAGTATTGCAAAAGCTTTGTGAAAAGTTTATGAGAGTGCTATTAAAAACATGTAAACTTTGTTTAGTTAGAATTGTTCCTTACTTTGTTTGCTGGGTTATTTATTATTTCATAGCGTTTTAAAGTTAAGGGGGTATTGCAGTTATTTACATACATTATTTTTTTTTTTTTTTTTGTTGGCTAGTTTTAACATTTAACCCTTTTGCCAAGTTATTTAGGTTTTATTTCCGTTACTTTGAGGTTTTTGTTTTTATTTTCTTCAACATTTTTCATGTTAAATTCAACCTGTTGGCATTTACAAAGAAAATACCAAACTCAAATATATGCTAGATTTAAAAATATTTGAAAAATGTTAAAAATAAAAGAGCACTTATGAGATATTTATAAAAGTAAGCAAGTTTTTAAAAAACTTGCACAGTTGCCAGAAAGCTTTGAAAGCTAACTTAACTATATCATTTAATTAACGTAAATTACTATAATATAAAAATAAAACAATTTTATTAATTTTCTTATACATATTTCTTTTTTTTTAGATTTCATTTCTCTCAGTGTAACTAAAAACAAGCGTGCCTTTTTTATCACATATCAAACAAAATAATCGTTAAAATTAAAGTGTTTTAAATAGAATATGTTTAATAGTAAACAATTACCACCACCTCCAACAACAAGACGACGAAATAATCTTCAAACATTGCCAGTGACTTTATCATCTAGAACGTCAACATCTGCAGCAACAGTCATCTCAAATTCATTATTAAGCACCACCACCACCTGTAAAAGCTCAAACAGCCTTAAAATGTCTACCCGCCAAAGTTATGTGTTCTTAGGTTTAACCGTACTGTTAACAATTATAGCCACAGTCCAATCTGGACCAGTGTCAACGACAACGCAAGCTGAGGTAAGTGGCAAAAAAACCTTTTAAGAGAATATTTATGAAAAAATCTACAAAAAAAGCTTTAAAAGTTTTGAAATAGACTGTCCTTATCAATAAAGTTATAAAATAAAAGTTCGTGATGGACGAACAGTATTAGATGCTTGAGCTTTCAAAAGCTTTTAATGTGTACAAAAAAATACTCAAATAGAAAAGCTTTCTTATCCTTTATTAAGCTTAATTAAACTTAAAGCTTTTAATGTGTACGAAAAAAGTTTGTTAGTAAAAGTTTTATAAAAATTCTGAAATAGATAGCAAAGCTTCTTTCCCTTATAAAGCTTTTTTTAACTTAAAGAATAAATAAATAAAAAATGCTTATTTTAAATTGTATTATGTATTATTTTAAATTCGAATAAAAAGCTTTAAAATTTAATATAAAACTTTAAAATTTTTCAAAAAAACTTTCAAATGTATTCAAAGAAATAATTTAGAAATTCTTTTTAAAGAAGTTCTAAATTAAGTTCTAATTATTCTTTAAGAAAGCTCAAATCCGCTTAAACAATAATAAAAATACTGCAAAAATAAAAAATTTGATTGTTTTCAAATATAATAAACGCTTTTAAATGCCTAATGGTATAAGAGCTTTCAAATATTTAAAAAATCTTTAATTATTGCAGTGACTCTTCGTTTTAATATGTTTGTTTTAAATTTTTTCCCATTTAGAAAAAATTTGAAAAATTAAGAAAAGCTTTAAATAAAGCTTTTAGCATTTGTAATAGCTTTCATTTATAATATTTAGCTAATAAAAATTTTAAGGCTGCTAAATATATAAATAATTTAATTATAATGAAAACTTTAAGCTTTTGCTAACTTAAAGCTTTTAGATAATGTAAAAAGTTTTCTTCATTTTGCCGACTCTAGGCTGTGTAAACAAATTTTATAAATAGTTTATTTATAAAATAAAGCTTTTCACTTTTATGATAGCTTTCAACATTTATAAAAGCTTTCCATATTTTTGAAAGCTTTCAACATTTACATATATCGTTTTTTAAGAATGCTGAAAATAGAAATAAAATGAAATCTTTAAGCTTTATTTCAAAAATATATTTCATTATGAGCGCTTTTGAATACATATCAGATTTGTTATAAATCATAAAAGCTTTTTAAAATTGTTTGTACATCATGTACCTATAAAATAAAGCTTTCTACATTTATGAAAACTTTCAACATTTATGTAAGCTTTCAGCATTTCTGAAAGATTTTAACATTTTATCTACTAAATGATTTAAAAAAGTTTAAGAAGCTTTAAGTTTTTGCAAAATTAAAGCTTTTAGGCGCTCTTTGTTATAAATCATAAAAGCTTTATAAGATTTTAATAAAAGATTTTGAACATTTAAAACATATATTGTTATATCTAATAAGCTATTGTCCATATAAACTCAAGAGCTTTTAAATCATATAAATTTTAAATGCTTTTAACACTTTTAATAAACTTTAACAAAAAGCTTCTTTATTTAATTAACGTTTTGTAAATTTATTAAAATTTATTTAAACATTCCTTGAAGCCGCTTACACATTTGTTTACAAATCAAAAAAGCTCTACTAGTATTGAATGAATGTTTTAGAAAGCTTACAAACATATTTATAAATTAAACTTCTCTTTAAGTCACTTACTAAATTTTTTACAAATCATAAAAGCTCTACTAGAATTGAATGAATGTTTTAGAAGTTTGAAAGCTTCCATATTATAATTTAATAACTAGTATTCATAAAAACGCCAAAGTTTAAAAAAGATATCGACTTTTAAAGCTTGTAATTGGTTTTAAACAAATAGCTTTTCTTCTTTAAATTAAAACTTTGTAACACATTTATTAAAACTGCTTTATATTTCATTATAAAAATATTTAATTACTTCATTTTAATTGCCTTTACTTAAAAACTCATGTTGGTAATAGACGATTCTTTTGAAATTTATTACATTTCTCTGGTTAAAATGTTAAACAATCTGTCTTAATTTACTGTTTAAAATTGATAATGATTTATGGAGAAATGTTTGTGATATACTGCTGCTGCTATATGTCTGACAACTACTACTAGTTTTATGCATAAAATTTATTCTTCATGATGATACTTTGCACTGTATTTAAACACTAGGGAAGGGAATTTTGACTGACTGACAGACTGCAAAGCTTTAATTGGGATGTGCAAGAGCTGAGAGTATGAGGCTAGAGAGTAATAAAAAACAAAAATGTTTAATTGTATTTAATTTACATAAAAATTGCATGTATCATGAGTTTTAATTTTGACACGAGTAAAGTTAGAGTAATCAACACGAGATACATACATACTAAGTATAACATGTGGAAGGGGCATGTATTTAGATATAAATTAGTATTTATTTGTGATTTTAACCTTAGCCTTAACATTTAGTCAGTTATTTTTTTGTTTTAGAATGAAATATTAATGGAAATATGTATACATTTCATGTTTTTTTTTTTGTTGTATTATTTTGAGTCAAATAATGGGCGATGATGATGATGATGATGGTTTTTAAATGGCTGACTGGTTGCCAATGTTTATTGGCGGTAATTGTTTAGTTATTAAAATAAGTTTAAAATGTTAATGACAATGAAATATTTACACATTCAAACATTTACACAGAGGACTGTCACAATTATTGTTAAAAGATCAATAGAAAAAGCTTTAAGCTCTTAACAATGAACATTTCAAATCATATATAAACCATCAACTCAATCACTTGAAAACCATGTTTAATATCTGTCTAATTGTTTGTCTGTCTGTATTTGCATTTTATGGATTTGTGTTTGTGTTTTTAACTATCTATAGTTTTTCCAAAATCGTGTCTATAATGTTCAATTGTTGTACATATTCTAAACTGATCATTATCATAATAATTTTTTATTATTATTTCTAATACTTTTTTCCCTCTCTCACTCTCTCTCTCTCTGTCCCTATCAGTGTCTTTGTATTATTTCATTATTAATTGATGCAAGGTTGTCACGTTCTTATGTTTTTTTTTTATTTTATTCAATATTAATAAATTTACTTTTTTTTCATTTAGTTTTATTGTTGTTTAATATTCCTCTATTATGCATACTTAACTATTTTAATAAAATGGGAAAACAATATAGAGAAGGGATCAAATCAAAATTTTATAAAAAACGCCTTAAGCTTTAACGTTTCTTTGTAATTTGTAATAATTTTGTTTGGTCTTCTCTATAAAAGGTGTGATGTTTTTTTTATTTTCGTTTTTAATCACGTGTTGCCTTAATAATAATTCTCCAATTCTTATCAATTTTGTTTATTACTTTAAATGTACACTCCTACTTCTTTTGAATATATGCAATTCATTAATTTATGTGCCTTGTGGGGAAAAATTATGGTCAAACATTTTGCCATTAATTGTCTTTGGAAATTTTTGAGTTTTCAGTAATAATTTTATGCTAAAGTTGAATTATACCACACATATTATTTTTATTGAAATTGGCGTCTGAATAGTTTTGTTTTGCCAATAATTTCTATTTATAGGAATTTATTCTATTTATTTGCTAATATTTATGAGAATTTGAGCTTTTAGTTGAAGTTTAAGTATAAAATTAAAAGCTTAAACTGTTTGAATTGCAAAAAGTAGAAGTTAAAGTTATAAATTTGCTATGAAAAAACTTATTTCTTTATTAACACTATAAAAGCTTCGAATTAGTAAGAGCTTTTCTTAAAATTCTAAAGTTTTTATGTTCTTTATAGCTCTTTTATTAATCTCACATAAAACTTTATGAAATAAAAAGCTTTTTAAAACCTTTTCTATTATATTTTATATCATTGTTCTATATATATAGTTTAAAAGCTTTTCCAAATAAAATCTTTCAAAGTTGCAAGTTTTTATAGGTAAAGCCTCAAAAGTTAAAAGCTTTTATGTTTTAAACATTTAAGTTAAAAGCGTTTGTGTGTACAGCTTTTAAATTTAAAAGCTTTTATATGTAATGCTTTTATGTGTAAAACTTTAATGCTTTTATAGGTAAAGCCTAAAAGCTTTTCCGAAGATTTTATGTTCGTTATAACTCTTTTAATACTCTTATATGAAACTTTTTGTAATAAAAAGCTTTTGAAAACTTTTTCCATTTTATTTTATATCTTTGATCTTTATATAGTATAAAAGCTTTTACAGATAACAGCTTTCAAAGTTGCAAGCTTTTATATGTAAAGTCTTAAAAGTAAAAAAGCTTTTATGTGTTAAGCATTTAAAGTTAAATGCTTTGCTTAACACATAAAAAGCTTTCTTACTTTTAAGACTTTACATATAAAAGCTTGCAACTGTGAAAGCTTTTATCTGTTAATCGCTTTTATGTGTAAAAGTTTAATGCTTTTATAAGTAAAGCCTTGGAAGCTTTAATAAGTAAAGCCTTAAAACTTTAAAGCTTTTATAAATTAAAAGCTTTCATATTTAAACCTTCAAAAATAAAAATTCGCTATATATAATGCTTCAAACATTAGGTAAGTCAGTTAACAATAAGAGCTTTTATTTATACAATTTTAAAAGTTCCTAATTAATCAGAGCATTTCCACAGATTTGATGTTCTTTATTGCTCTCATATAAAACTTTTTAAGATAAAAAGCTTTTGAAAACTTTTTCTATTATAAAAGTTAAGAGCTTTTATATGTAGAGTTTAAAAAGTCAAAGTATATTTATATTTTAAGTGTTAAAAGTTAAAAGCATTTAAAGCTAAAAGCATTAATGTGTAAAGCTTTTAATTTTAAAAGCTATTATGTGTAAAGCTTATAATTTAAGAAATTTTATATGTACAGCTTAAAAAGTTAAAAACTTTTATATGGAAAGCCTTAAAATTTAAAAGCTTTTATAAGTAGAGCCATGAAAGTTGAAAGCTTTTAAAAGAAAACCCTTAAAAGTTAAAAGCTTTTATAAGTAAAGTCTTAAAACTTGAAAGCTTTTATAATTAAAGCCTTAAAACTTGAAAGCATTTAAATTTAAAGCCTTAAAACTTAATGTA